AAGAAATTCTAAACCAAGCTGGCTACTGTCTTGTGCTACCAGATTCTCACTTCTGGTCCAAGCACTTACTTCCCCAGATGCAGCTCGGCGGCTCTGGGCAGTTACGTTCAGCCTCAGGGAGCCTCAGCCCCTAAGGTGACTGCCCTGGGATGGCATGGAGACAGCCTGACACCCAATTTGGGGCTGGGATGCCCCGTGAACATTGCCATGACTGTACCACACCTCACCCTTTCCGTAGGCCACCTGGCTCCCCTGGTAACTGTTTGTCAGTCAGCCTTCTGGTACTGTGATAAAGGCCCTGAGAGAATCAACTTAGAAGGAAGAGAGTTTGTTTTGGCTCACAGTTTCCATCCATAGTTGCTTGCCCCTTGTGGGTTTTGGGCCTATAGGGAGGAGTCCATGGAGGCAGAAGTGCACGGATGAGGAAAGCTGCTCACCTCCTGGCAGCCAGGAAGCAGAAAAGAGCACGAGGAAAGGGCAGGCACAAGGTGCACCCTTCAGGACACATCCCCAGTAAGCTACTTCTTTGGACTGGGCACCTCCTTGTTTCTACCACTTCTCAACAGCGCCACCAGGTGGGGACAAAGCCTTCGACACAGAAGTCTTCAGGGACCTTCCAGGTCCAGCTTATAAAGGTGACCAACCCATCTTAACCAACCAGTAACTGGATCAAGTGAGGACTGCAAACAGTAGATGAAAATGATTCTGTGGGTCTATCATCTATAATCAAAGCTCTTTCAAGACAGCCTAGTAGTTGTGTCACTGGATTTCCAGATGTTCTGAATGTCCTGTAAATTATATTGGTAGAAGGTCTTGACGTAGTAAACTTGCTCTGTGAGCCTGGGCCCTTCTGCTCCCAGGGGTTGTTACATAACTGCTAAATGTCAGTTATGTTTATTAACAAATTTTTTCCAGCGGTGGTGTTCACTACAGTTATATAGCACAATGAAATATCTTGGAAACTCATAAAATATGTGGGGGGAAAAGAACTGTTATTTCTATGAAAAATACTAAAATAGAGGAAACTCTTAAAAATTGTTGTTGAATTAGATGCAAATGATAAAACTATAAAAGACTAGACGGGAAAAAATTTAAAAAATCTGTCTACCCAAATCACTTTGGGAGTACCTTTAAATTTGTATTCTACTTTAAACCATCAAAATTGTTAACCATAGCAATGAATTATGGATGTGGTTTTTGCAGATTCTAATCAGGAGATTCTTACTCAGAGAAGTAGACTCGGTTTGGCATTGGAAGATTTTTTAATGGAATGTACATTTGAAATTTCAGGGTAAAATAAAATACTCAAAGAGTGTGCATGATTTATGATTCTCCACTTTTTAGCTGTCTTTTTAAGCTAACAATAAAGTACACTTGTGGCCAAGGACATACTCAGAATCTCCCACATCTTATTCAGTGGAGTCCTGCTTCTCCTCTGGGGATTATCAGATGAGACATTTTGTGCAGGAAGAGTTGACTGCTGGGTGGTCTCTGGACTTTGTGTCCCCTGACATGGGGTGAAATTCAGGAACCATTCCCAGAGGAGCTGATGATCGGAAAGCTTTGGAGGCAGATGATAGGCATCACTGGCTTTGATTTACCAACACGGAGAACCCAGGCTTCATGTTTAGTCCTGCAGTGGATGTAAATATGACAGCTACTCCTTGTGGCAAAGCAAAGCCAACATTCACATCTGTTGAGGGTATCAAGAAAGGGTTCTGTTTATACTCTTAAGTGAAATAAATAGGACACACGTGTAAATACAGAATAGTTTCTCTAGTGTGAGAAACTGATAGTGTAAACAAGGGTTAAAATGATTAAAATGAATAATTGATAATTTGAAATAGGAAAAAAGGTCCAAAGATGAAGGAGTGAAGGGAGGGAAAGGGGAAAGGAAAAGAGGGAAAGGAAAGACTATGAGAAAAGAAAAAAGAATGGAAATGAAATCTATGTAAATAGGGAAAGGTGGAGGTGGGGAAGGGTGCACCGGTAATGGGGAAAAAATAAGAACCAAGATATATCATGTTCAGGTACAAACACCCAATGATAAATGTAAATGAATTGTATACCTAAAATGTACCAATAAAAGAACTAAAAAAAAAGAAAGGGTTCTGGTCCCGAGCCCCTTTAATGATTTAGGTCTTAACCTAAACACCCAACCTTAGCTACAGCATTGTCCAGGAAGAGCTTTCTTGCACTACACAGTACATGAGGCATACCAAAAGGGAGAAGTCAGTAGCATTTCCACATTTTTAAAAAAGATTTTAAAAGAAGCAGAATATTTATGTTGTATATAATACCAACTTAACACTACGCTATTTTTAGAATTACAAGCCAGCTAAAAAGAGATACAAGCCTCATGACTAATTTGGTGAATGCACTGGGATCTACACATTAGAACAGAAAAGTGACCACTGCTGGAACTGATTCCAGGTCATACTGCCTTTAACTGTCTATTTCCTCAATCTCGCTCTTGCTGTGTGCAAACACAGAAAACGGGACATACTCAAGTTAAATAGGGGTGGAACAATCTGGAGGAGAGGATCCTCTGACCCAGAGACTTCCACAACGAAAGAGCGATTTCAGTACAAGGCACCAAGGGACAATCATCCAGCGATGAGCAGTGCTGGCATTTTCCTTTGCTCCCTAAACAGAGTGACAATTCACTTACACACAGAGAAACACCCACATCCGCTGAAAGCTCACCGCAGAACTTCCACACACAAACAATGACATTTTAAATCAGAAGTGCTGTGAATCTGGTCTGAGAGCATTAAGTAACTCACTAATCAGCACACAGTACATTTATAGCTTTAACTGTTTTCCCCTTTCCCAAGGGACACATTTCTTCCAGAAGCAAGTTACCAAGGCAAACATTCACTTCCACTGTTTCACAGGTAAGAAGAGGAAGAAGCACCCAACCAGCTACTAAAGTTCTGTAAAATCAACTGCCAGAGCATCTCGTTTAATTTAGATCTCTGCCCTGAGCTATGCCTTCGCGTATGTCTTATTTTTGTGTTTGAACTTGACAGAAAATCATTATAATGAAACAAAATTTAAAAGACACTGACATACTTCCTTCCAACCAGTATTTCTTAGATGAACTTATTGCTCTTTTCTTCCCTTCAAGAATGCTATCTAAAATTGTTAAACATTGATTAATTATTAAAGCCACAATATACATTACAAGTCCTCTGGAAAGGATATGTTTTTTAAAAAGTGACATTTTCTTCTTGCAAAAACAAGTGCATTATGGAACATTCAGAACAAACAAAAATTAATAAAGGAGAAAAAAGTCAAGCCATAATCTTCCAGCCAGAGACAAGCACTGTAAACATTTTAGACACTTTCTGCCAGTGAAAGAATATAATTCCTTATTAAATCTTTAAAACTACCTTTTCTTCCCTTAATAAAAACTATTCTTCAACATAAAGTTTGGTTACAGTCATGCCTACGGGACTCCCATCTCTCCTAATATGAGAAAAAGTATTTGACAGCAAACTTGGTATACATGATTTAAAACCTTTGTATATATTAAACTTTTGAATACTAAGTAGCAGGTCCTGAAGTCTAAAAAATTTTGAAGGATAAACAATATGCTTATGTAGAACACAACAATAATGATTTAAACAACTAAGACAGTTCCAGTGGCACTTAGTGAAATGCAGGAGTTTCCAGGTGTATGTGTTAGGCATGCCCCAAAGCAGAACCCACAAAGACCTGACACACTTGGGCCACTTTGTGATAGTGCAAAAGCCTCTTCGAAAGGTTTCTGTGAGCACCATGGCATTCAACAAAAGAGTAGATTCACCCGCTTCCTCTGCCCAGTGGAGACACTCAGGTGGCATGTGTACTGGTCAGCGTTCTGTCACAGCAGTAAGATGTCTGAGTTGATCACGTATGAAATGCAAAGTGTGTCCTGGCTCTCAGTTTTGGGGGTCTCAATCCAGGACTTGCCCCACTGCACGTCACAACAGGGGGGGCATTACAAACAGGAGAAGAGAAGGCAGCTGGGTCCTACCTCCCTAAGAGCATGAGTTCGATGACCTGAATACCCCCCCATCTCCCAAGAGTACCACACAACAGGGACAAGGTCTCAAGCCAGGGGCCTTCGGGAAACAGACCAGACCCACACTGTGGCCCCACGTCTCCATGTGTTATGTTAAATATGTTTATAATCTGAGACCTTCTAGAGGAAAACCATCTGGAAAGGCAGAGTGGATTCAACAGCATACCACTCAGTGCTGCTGGTAGCATAGAACTTGAATTGTAACTGTCCTTTAAAGTCATATCCAAGACCAAGTGTAGCATCCTTCCTTCCAGTGGAGAAATGCAAGGAAGTGGCAGAGAACGGACATGCACCCAGATACATACGTAATGAACATATTCCCAACATGGTGACCAAGTGCGGTGTCACTAACACAACCACCAGTGCATTTCATTTCTACACTTGGATATCTTCATACAAGTCCTTTAATACATACCGTTAATAATTCATTGGAATAAACATCCCATCCCCCCAGGATATTTTAAACAACTAACTCTGTATGTACACAGATATTAGAATGAATTCACTACATAATGTGTAGAGCACTGAAAATGTTTTTTGGAGGTACTGGAAATTGAACCCAGGACCTCTACACATCCTCAGCCCCTTTTTTGTTTTGTTTTCTATTTTGAGACAGGGTCCTGCTAAGTTACTAACTGGTCCAAACTGGCCTTAAATTTGAGATCTTCCTGCCTCAGCCTCCCAGAGTACTGGGATTACAGGCTTGTATCACTACATCTGGCTAACAATCAAACTTTTAAATGAAGACACCATGTGAGAAGCAAGTTAGACTTATCACTTTTATATCAGATATGAATGCTCAGCCCAAAGACTGAAGAGTCCAGAACTATCCCTCCTCCAAGGATGTGCTCAGGGTCAGGAGAAACCAGCCCCTTGGGCCCTGGGAGGGAAGCAGCACATGGAGACAACATGCCTGCCTGCACTGACTTACTTGAGCGCAGTCCTGTAGTGGTAGATCGCTTCCCTGTTCCGGCCCTGGTCCTTCAGGAAGTTGGCATAGTTGTAGTGAACCTTGGCATTGTGGGGCAGAGTCTCAACTCCAGACCTAAAACAGAAACAAACAGATCAGCCAAAGAAAACTGGCAGCCTTCTTCACGTTTACCCAGGTTCATGAAAACGCAGGGGAAATACCCACTACATCCATCTAAAACAAGGCCTCCAAAATCTGTGAAACATATGACTTACTAAACATTATTCTCTATGGCTAACAATGGAGGCAGCAGAATACAAACAAAATGTTCTCAGCTGTTAAACCAAAGGCCCTTTCCACCTGCTGGGGATGTGGGAACCTGCGCAAAGTGTGGCAATCATTCCCAAGCGTTTGCAAGAGTATAGCAAGGCCGGATTACAGACAAGAGGATGCATTCTACAAGAGCATCAGGCAACCTTGTGACTCTCAGGCCAGGCTGGCTTCCAAGCCAGGCTGCAGTGGGCAGAAGAGGCAACATCACAGGGGCTGTGGGAATGTTAGACATAGATCCTTAGGGGGAATTTTGGCACTAGGAAAACTCTTTCCTCCTTTCATGCCTATTTCAGGTTTTTTATTCATGGAGACTCAATGAAATAGCCTAAGTGACCTCCATGTACAAGATAAAGAACCAAAGGAACCAAAGATTTGGTGGATTTCATAGAAGGACAACAGCCCTTGACCACATCTCCTCTTTACTACAGGGATGAGTTAGGACACACAGTACCCTTACCCACTGCCTTCTTCCCCGGGTCCTCCTACCAGTCTAGATCCCTTCAGCACTGGAGCCCATGCAACTGGTTAGCGGGAGACTCTCCCACCTCCCTCCTTGGCACACAGGGTCCTCAGTGGTGTCACAGTGGGAAGAAAACTCATCCAAGACCTGGCAGTGAGTCCAGGGACTCAGAAAGGTCCTCAGCTGCTCAACAACGGCAGGTAGCAAAGCTGGTGGGCTGTGTGACATTACTGACACAGACCTGGTCCTGGTAAGGATGGTCTGGGTTGAGTGAGAGGAAAAGAAAACCGAAGCATAAACACAGGCCCAAGCAGAATCACTTACAAAGAACATGGTTCCAGAATTCAGATAGAGCAGCTTGACAAAACTGGCTTGCCAGTGTTTCTCTGAACGGCAGTAGATGGCACAACTGCTCATTGCCTGCATACAGCCCCATTCAGTACCTACTGTACAATGCAGATGTTGGGAACAGAGGTCAGGTGCGTCCCTGCCTGCAGGGAGCTTCTTGGGGTGAGGAAATACAGTTAGGAAAGGTGGGTGATGCCAACATGGCAATGAGTAAGGTGCCAACCAGGCCCAGGATATAGAACTGATGAGGAGGTTTGCAGGGCCAGCAAAGCCGAGAATGAAGGACAGAGAGAGTCACATCAGCTTCCACAGCAAGAGGCAGTAGTGTCTTCAGTAGAGTGTCCTCCTCAGCAGAGGAAAAGAACCTGGATTGCTGAAGGACCAGAAGCAACTCAGAGGTGCTGGATCACAGGAGGACAAGACTGAAAGAAGTGAAAGCTTGAGGGTTTTATGATTTTGTGATCACAGTGGAGTCTTTAGGTTTTATCTGAAGACTGCTGGGAACTCAGGGGATGGTTTTTAGCACAGAAATAAGACCCAGAGTTGAGCATCTGTGAAGAACTGCAATAGATGCAGTGTGAAAAGGGCCAGAAGGAGGAAAGCCCAGAGGCAGGGTGACCCTAGGGAGAGGTGTTAAGGGAAATGCTGAGAAGAGAGCAGAAGGAGAGGGAGAGGGAAAGAGGAAGGAGGGAGAGACGGGGGTGATTAGAATTTCATTCATGGGCATGGTGGGAAGCTGTTCAGGAAGCAGAGCTGGCAGCGGCAGGAACTGGTGGAAGAGATTCCTCGGGGAATGGTCCTGTACACGTTCAGGGTGATTCAGTTTTTTCCTCCCTCCATAGCTTCCTGTCCTTTTCTTTCCAAAAACTAATTTGAGATTGTCTATAAAGGTGAATCAATATGGCAGTGTACTGGAGATTGACCTCCCTAATCGTTAGTTTTATTGGAATTAGTATGTCCCTGTAGTAAGTCTGGGCTAATTTAAAAAGAAAATGAATGCAAGTGTAATTATTCTCTAGATAAGGAAATGAGGATTTACTCAGAAACATTAAAAAATGTGCTTAAGTCTAATAAGACTGCCATAACTGAACATCTTGGCTTAAACAATAAGAATCATGTATTTCCCACAATTCTGGAAGATAGAAGTCAAAGATCAAGGTGCTAGCCCCGGTGGTGAACCTACGGCACACATGTTATTAGTTTCTCTGTTAAGACAAACGATGTTAATGTGAGTTATATTTTCTAAACTAAAACATCAGTATTCAAGTTTAATTGCCGTGTTGGCACTTTACAATAAATAAATGGGTTTAGGGTTGCAGTCTGAGCATTCGTCTCTAAAAGGTTCACCATCGCTGTTCTAGGCACTTCAGGGTCTGGTGCTGGGCTCTCTTCTGGCTTATAGATGGCAGCTTCTGGATACATTCTCATGGCCTTTCCTTGGTGGATATGTTCAGGACGAGATCTCTGGTTTCCCTCTGTCGGTTTTGTCTATTATTCTTGGTACTGGGGATTGAACTAGGGCCTATGCACTGAGCTACATCCCCAGTCCCACCTCTCCCTTTGCTTTTTATGTTGTGAGAGTCTCACTAGATCACTCAGAAGCCCATGCTGCCTCAAAGGCCAACTCTCAGCTCTCCTACCTTAGCTCTCCTGAGAGCTGGGATTGCGGACACGCACTACCATGTCCCTCCCTGTCCTCTCCGTGTCACAGCCCCACACCTACTGGCCTGAGGTCCCACTCAGGACTTTATTCACCTGTTACCACCGCCCTCACAGGTCCTATCTCCAAAGAGTGTGAAGTTGGAAGTTGGGGACTCAACCTATGAATTTTTGGGGAACATCAACAATGTTCTGACCATAACAACCACCATAACCCTAGCCCTGAAGTGTGAGGAGGGTATGGGTCACCACCAAAGGTTATGGCTGTCCCAATGCCAAGCAGCTTTTCTGAGCCTGCACCTTCTGATGGACACTGGTTCACAGCAGAGGCTGCCTGCCTCAGGCACACACAGTGTGCAGGCTTTGAAGATGACCCAGGATAGAGAGGCAGGAGAGGATCCATTTGTCAAAACCCTAATTGGCATAAGATCCTCCAGCTGTCAAGTGCCAGGGACAAGATTCAGACCCAGAGTCTGCTTCTGGGTTCTGTTCCCTCACCGCAAGGAGGTGGTAGCAGGGGGTGATGAAGTTGGACAGAAGGATTTGAGGGCAGTGTATGGTGAGAAAACTTCTGGAACTTAATTAAATGAGAATGGGAAATAGCTGATGAGCACTCAGTTTTGGGGCAACTGTCCTTTAATGTGCTACTTCTCTCAGATAACAGATTTTCATTTAATTTTTAATTTAAAGGTAGATTAATAGGAAAATTCCACAAGAAGTGCTAAAACCTACCGAGGAAGCACGTTAGGGCAGGGTAGTCTCACAGCTCCTAAAGACCTAGCAAAGTCTGTATCACTCAGATGGGGAGATGTAGGCATGTAGGATCATTCTAGAGCCTTAAAAGTACAGCAGGAGGTGCATAACTAATACTGTATTGTATAATGAAAATGTGTTCAGACTTCAGATATTCTTATTACCAAAGAAGGGAACATGAGAAATGATAGATATGTTTAACTGCTTACATGTGGTTAGCAGTTCACTATGGATACACAAAAAAAGTATGATCAAAAATACAGTAAATGTTTAATTTTATTACAGTAAAAGACCCACTGCCATTACTCCCTCTCCAAATCCTCCCCTTCACTTTGAATACACTTAGCCCATCATTTTTGTCACTTTCTGAAACAGTTCTGGAAGTCCTCTGTCCCAAGTGTCATTAGTTGCACTGTCCTGGCTGCTGTGATGTCCTGAATTGATTCAAAATGCTATCTTTCACTGTCATTTCGACTTTGGAGAAGAGCCAGAAGTTGTACAGTGCCAGACCCTGTGAATAAGGTCAATGAGGACACCTCCCTCATCAATGTTCCGACCAGGCTGTCTTCTGTTGGATGGCGCTTGACAGCAGAATTTATCATATTTTTTTATCACACTTCAAAGATATTAAGACTTCCAGTATTGCTTCAGATGGTGGTAAGAATGATGGGATAAGTGTGTCTGAAGGAAAGTTATTTTGAAGGGGGTTAATAGCAATGTGTCTTTGCTATAACAAAATACACCATATTTTTTGATCAGTCTTTGTATCAAAATGTCATGTACTCCTTTAATTTGTACAATTTTAAAAAGTGCAAAAAAAGAAAAAAACATGGAAGAAAGAAGTTTGTTTCCTTTTCCTTTTTCTCTACTTTATGCTGAGCCTGAAAGAAGTAAAAATAAATGTCATACATAGATGGAGTCGATGAAACTCTGGCTTCCTGGAGAACACCTGGGGACGGCCAGTGACACTCAACTCTGGCATCGCTGAGGCTGCCAAGATAGCATGCAGGCTGTGAGCTCACAGTGCACAGACGCTACCGATGCAGCCTGTGTCTTGTAATGAACAGAGCTCTACCTGTCCCTCACACTCTACCATTCACAAAGCACACTCCTCTGTGCTCTGTGCTCGCCAAGTTACACTTCAGCCACAGGGTTCCATGTTTCTGCACTGGGCTCCCAGGGGCTGAGATGAGGTGGGATCTATGTGTGCCCTGTTTTCTAAACAAAAGTGGCTGCAGACAAAGGAAATACTCAGGCCTTTCACACACGAGAAAAGAGTTCCAACCTCTGCTTTTAGATGGACAGAAGGACGGATGGACAGAGGGACTGATGGACAGATGGATAGAGTAGTCCAGCAGCCATGCAATGCCTTTATGTGAGCCCTCTGAGGACTTGTCACTGATGGTGCACAGTGGCTCACAGCACTGGAGGACCTGAGGAAGGTGCTAGTGACAATTTCATCCCCTCTCTCCTTATCATGTTAGAGAAGAGAAAGCTGAGCCCAGAGAGCAGGGGCTGGCACAGACTGACTGGTGCTCTGGCCCAGCAGCAAAGGCATCTCTCAGGCACAGTGCAGTCGGCT